TTGCCTCTGCCACTACCTGTGCCCCTGGCATTATGCCCCTCAAACTCTCTTCCGCCCTTGGCTTACTTCCAAATCAGAGTTTTGAATGTCTGCGTCTGATTGGTGGAAGCTAGCCTGTATCTAGCCGTGAGGGAAGCTGGGAAATGTAGTTTTTAGGGTTCTACTTTGGGAACACGAGACGAAAACTGTGGGACCAGACAACTAAAAATTGGCACTTGCCATCTGCTTCTACAAGGATGAGGTCACTAGCCACTGTAGTCGCTGACCTTCAACACACCTGAAAGGAGTTCAGGAATGAGGCACCCTGTGCTCTGGGAAAAACTGGAAGAACAGGTTTTTAGATAATTAGATATTTTCAGGAAAAGATTTTTATGAGCCCAACTCTTGCATTTCCTCATATCTATAAAAGCACTAAAATCACTAATGGAAACACCTGCTCCTCGTGACCAGCAGTAACCCTCTTGTGACTAGCAGCTACCTTCTGCCAAAACGTTTGCTTGATTGTCCTTATCCTTCTTCACCCAAATCACATATATACCAGCCTCTCCGCTTACCTCTTCGGAGCAGTTCCTCAGAGCATCTGAGAGGCTGTCTTCCAGGATATAGTCCTCATTTTGCCCAAATAAAACTTAACTCACAACTTTCACATTGCACTTTTTTTTTTTTTCAGTCGACAGACCCTATCAAAAAGAAGAGAGGGTGTTTAAAAGATATGGCCAGCCACAGGTTACAGATATCCCCTGCCCCTGTGCTCAAAAAAGAATTTCCTCTTTGATTTCTGACCATTCCTATTCTAGAGAAGAGTTAACACCCAGCCTGGGATTGTGGGAAAGGAAGAGCCTGGAGGCTGCTCTCTACAGCACACAGCCTAGGCGTGTGCATACAGCAAGGAGAGAAGATTGCTTTTAAGACGTGACAATATTTAGGAATCCTTGCAGCGAAGTGGGATAATCAAGAGGAAGAATCCAAAAGGGAAGGAAGCAATAATAATTGTCTTCAAATTTGCTCTTTTAAACACAGTCTTTTAATTTATTTTAAGCATCACAGGGTGGATTGCTCTGGGTAATTTAGCGGTCTTTGCTTATGATCAGAAGTTCAGTAACACACTCAGCAGACATTTCAAGCAGTGCAGTACCATTTCTAGCCCCACAATACCCACCGTTCCATCCCTATTGGGGATATATGATCACCACAGAGCATCTTAACCTAGCTCAGATGTGTAGGGAGTAATCTAAGTAAAATGTGGGATTTACATAATTCATTTCCTCAACCACAGGCTGCTTTAATCAGAGAGTATGAGATAGCTCTTCAAGGGAAACCCACAATGATAAACTATTGCCATTCCCAAAGCAGAAAGACCGTGTGAATACTGCTGCAATGAACGTGAGAATGCAGATATCTCTTCAAGATACTGATTTCATTTTCTTTGGGTACCCAGAAGTGGGATTACTGGATCATATGGTAGTTCTAACCATGGTTCTGCTACTCTTTACCCTGTGATCAGACCCATTAAACTAATTAATGGATGATGAATGGATGATTCTACATGGCTCTAGATGGAAAAGAGACTATTTTGAAGACCTTCAGGAATGACCACTGTACCAGTTAGGATACCTTTGGATGTTCGTAACTGAAAGCCCTCAACTCCAATTGGCATAAAAGATTGATTTATTATTTCATATACCAGAACTCCAGAGGGATGTAGTATTCAACATTGTTGAGTTCAGTTTAATTCAGTGACCCAAATATATCCTCAAGGATAGGGGTCTTTCTGTCTTCCCACTCTGCCACCAGGGTTCAGATTTATCCTTGAGCTGACTTCTCTCATGGTCACAAGATGGCTGCTGGAGTTCCAGCTGTCACATCCAGACAAGACAAAATTCAAAAGAAGAAGAAAGGCCACTTCTTTTCAGGCTTCACCTTATTAATAGTGATAAGTCCTTTCCCAGAGGTCCTTAACTCCCTCACACCTCAGTGACCAGCTGGGTCACATGCTTGCTCTAATCCTACCACTAATGAAGAGACCAGACCACTACGACTGACCTCACCGATTTGGATTTATCCATTGAGTCACGTGGGAGGAGTGTCAGGAACCTAAGCAAAGACTCTCTCAGTAAGGAAGGAGGATGGAACAGATGTGGGAGGAACTTTCAACAGTGTCTGCAATAGGCATGAACCTCATTTCTTGTGGCCTCACACAACCCTGGTTCTAGCAGGATAACAATCTCAAACATTAGTCACGGCTATTAAGTGTAAACATGCTGGGTTTTATTCCATTCTCAGATGCTCATGTAAAGTCCTTTCAGAGTTTTAAGGCCACGAGTCCGTTAGAGCAAGCGACAGTCCGTTTCTCTTGCTGGAAGCACTTAGGTTGTGACTGCAGTTGATAAGTCGCTCCTGGCTTTTGA